GGTGCCTTGGAGAATAGTTTGACTCCCTCCTTTTTGTGGCAATCCCTGAGATATTGGAACACTGCTATCATGTCTCCCCTAGTCCTTTTCATTAAACTAGACATACCCAGTTCCTGCAACCGTTCTTCGTATGTTTTAGTCTCCAGTCCCCTAATCACTCTTTCCAGAGTCTCCACGTCTTTTCTACATCATGGCGACCAAAACTGAATGCAGTATTCCAAGTGTGGCCTTACCAAAGCATTATATTTATTTTTTCCAGAGTTTTGTAGGGTAACATTTGATAATGTATTCGCATTCATGTAATATGAGCCAACAGTGTGCAGCAGCTGCCAAAAATGCTAACATAGTTCTAGGCTGCATAAACGGAGGGATAGAATCAAGATCACTTGAAGTGTTAATACCACTTTATAATGCCTTGGTAAGGCCACACTTGGAATACTGCATTCAGTTTTGGTCGCCACGATGTAAAAAAGATGTGGAGATTCTAGAAAGAGTGTAGAGAAGAGCAACAAAGATGATTAAGGGACTGGAGACTAAAACATATGAAGAACGGTTGCAGGAACTGAATATGTCTAGTTTAATGAAAAGGACTAGGGGAGACATGATAGCAGTGTTCCAATATCTCAGGGGTTGCTACAAAAAAGAGGGAGTCAAACTATTCTCCAAGGCACCTGAGGGTAGAACGAAAAGCAATGGGTGGAAACTAATCAAGGAGAGAAGCAATTTAGAACTAAGGAGAAATTTCCTGACAGTTAGAACAATGAATCAGTGGAACAGCTTGCCTCAGAAGTTGTGAATGCCCCAAAACTGCAAGTCTTTAAGAAGATGTTGGATAGCCATTTGTCTGGAATGATATAGGGTTTCCTGCCTGGGCAGGAGGCTGGACTAGAAGACCTCCAAGATCCCTTCCAACTCTGCTATTGTATTGTATTAATTATGCGGAAACATAAAATGAATTAAATCCAGTTTATAGTAACGCAATGGAAGTTATACCATTAATACTCTATATACCTTATTCAACATTTTGGTTATATCCTATTATAATTTCAGAGTGGAACTCTGAATTTTTAAAATATATGAATATATGAAAAGCATCTAGAGCTCAAAGTTCAATCTAAATATACTTTACTACACTGTAAGTGATGCCCACATGTTATTTAGGTAAATACTTAAATGGAATAGAAATGTACTTTCTGCTGAAAGTTATCCAAATAATTTCATATTAACTGACACAAGAGCTTTATAAGTAAAACGTAAGAACAGAACATTCCTTTTTACCTGTTCATTGTTCACAGGAGAGATTTTTTTTAGTTCAGCTACTGCATCATTCAATTGTTTTTTCAAGTTTTCATTTTCAAGTCGAGCAGTATGAAGATCTGCCATTGTTTTATCACGCACATTTACTGCATCACTTAGTTCTTTGGACATGAAAATAACTTCCTGCCTGCTTGCCTGAATTTGATCTTCAGCTTTCCGAAGCTGCTCTTTTAAAAAACTTGACTCTTCCTAGAAAAATAAAGCAGTAAGTTTATATATTATTCTTAATTTATTGTGTTATTCTTAAACAAAAAGAAAAACCAAGGCATAAATATTAGTAATGTATCAAATTCTCCAATTGTTGTCTGCTGTTGCCCATGGCTCCTGGCAATATGTTGTTCTGACCTAGGCTTCCCCAGCAGCACGAAGCCGAGTCCTCATCCCGATAAACCCCTTTTATTTAATTTACAATGAATTCCTCTCCAGCAAAGTCCCGACCCATAATCTTTCAAGATAGTCAAAATTACTGACCTTTATCAGGCTTGGAGAGTGGCCAAACCGATATCTTTCAGACACCCCAATACTTTGCAAAAAAGCAGGAATAAACTAATTATCTCCTGTAAAAACCCCTCCTCTTTCACTCCTCTTTTATTCCCTATGGGAGGAGCTACTCACTGTCCACCTGTGGCCTTATTCCAAGACTGTTCTCTTTGTCTGGCAACTCTGCACATGCGCACACTGGGAACAGACTCCAGCTGTTCATGCCTCACACGTGATGCAGGTAATTTGATTTGGAATATTCTGAAAACAAAATATCAAGGACTTAAAAACAAAGATCCTTTTAATCGATATCAGTACCTTATTTGATGAAGTAAGCAGGAAAGCTTTCTTCAGTTTTTCTTTTTCAGTCACACACAGTTGTAACCTGCCAATCTCTTCTTTATAATATGCTATAAGGTTTTCTTTGTTTCCATCCAAATTCTTAAGTGTCTGGATTTCAGATGCTAATTTACAATTTTCAACTTCTGTATTCTTCAAGTGTATCTGTAATGACATACATAATGAATTCACATTTCTAATCCTAAACAGGCTTATCCCAAAGTAGTTGGGATGAGATAGAAGGCTAAAGCAAAAGAAACTTATTTGGATGCATATTTGATAAGGAACAAATTTGAATGGCCCTAAGCATGCAGAGTAGGATTGGTATGAGGAGATATTTCTTGCTAGATACTAGTGTGCCTGGGCAGAAAAGGTACAATATCGGGTAAAGTTTCAATGCAATTTTTCAGGAATCTTGGCCCGGGCAATATATTTGGCTTTTTCTACCTTGGTACAGTGGAAGAAGAGTGTTTTCCAAACTCTTGTCGTTGCTATTGCAATGCTCTAATCATTATTTTCTTAAATAATGGGGTTAAATTTGATGGGCTTAAATTTTATGATTGAATTTGGGGAAATGAGTTTTTTTATCTAACGCTAAAGCAGAGTTAAATCACTGCTTTAGGTTAGGAGGTACTCATACTGATTTATTATGGGGATAGATCATGAACATTGAAAATTTGATTAAGGTACCATCAGTAATAGAATTATCTCTACTGTTAAACAGCTACAAATATTTAATAGCTTGGAATTTACCTTGTAAAGTTCCTTTTCATCCTTTTCTGTTTTTAACTGGCATTCAAACTGTTCCTTTTCCAAGACTACTTTCTTGAGTTTATCTTTCAAACTACATGGGGAAAAAACAATTCAGATTTTTAATTTATTTATTAAATTCTTCCTCAAAGTAACTCTGGGTGTACAATTAAATTTTATTTAATTATCAGTGAAAATAAGTTTGTATTTGTTGTATACCTATCTAATTCTGTTTCCTTTATAATAGCTTTCTGAGTGACAATCATGATGTCTTCTTCAAGCTGAATAACTTTGGAAGTAGCTTCTTCATATTTTTTCTTGAGTTTTTCATTTTCAGCTTTAAGGGTTTCTGCAGCTTCAAAACCATCCTTTAAAAATAAATAAAACTGATTTTAAAGGTGTGTATGTTTACATACATTTAATTCACTTCACCAAATCTACATTAATAACTACCTTATATTTAGGAAACAAAATGTTTATTGAATAGATGTATGATATTTAAGTGATTTTTATCAAGTGAAGTTAAAATCACTAGAGACCCAAGGTTATCTCATATCACTGAATTATCATTTACCACATTCATACGTTCACAGGAGAAAGCAGGATGCAAGTGTTTTAGTATGACATATACATATGCAAAATATAATGAAATATCCAAATTAAAAGTTTAGATCAGATATGCATAAATAAGTGTTTAATGAAAGAAGCAACAACAAAAGTGAACTCTATTGATCTTTTGATTTTTTTCCCTCCGTGATGTCATGTGACTCATTAGTGTTACAAGATCTCAGGTGTGAAGGGGGAGCAGGTGTGTTAAAGTTGGTGTTATCGCCCTCACTCTCTCATACTGGTCACTGGAAGTTCAACATGGCACCTCATGGCAATGAACTCTCTGAGGATCTGAAAAAATAAATTGTTGCTCTACATAAAGATGGCCTACTAGGCTATAAGAAGATTGCAAATACTGAAACTGAGCTGCAGCACAGTGACCAAGACCATACAGCAATTTAACAGGACAGGTTCCACTCAGGACAGCCTCACCATGGTTGACCTAAGAAGTTGAGTGCCTATACTCAGCGTCATAGCCAGAGGTTGGCTTTGGGAAATAGACATATGAGTTCTGCTAGCATTGCTGCAGAGGTTGAAGGGGTGGGGCGTCAGCCTGTCAGTGCTCAGACCATATGCCACATGCTACAAAAAATTGGTCTGCAGGATTGTCATCCTAGAAGGAAGCCTCTTCTAAAGATGATGCACAAAAAAGCCCACAAACAGCTTGTTGCAGACAAGCAGACTAAAGATATTTATTTCTGGAACTATGTCATCAGACCAAGGTAAACTTATTTGGTTCATATAGTGTCAACCGTATATGGCAGCAACCAGGTGAGGAGTACAAATGCAAGTGTGTCTTGCCTACAAGCATGGTGGTGGGAATGTCATGGTCTGGGGATGCATGAGTGGTACCGGCACTGGGGAGTTACAATTCATTGAGGGAACCATGAATGCCAACATGTACTGTGAGATACTGAAGCAGAGGATGATCCCCTACCTTTGGAGACTGGGCCACAGGGCAGTATTCCAACATGATAACGACCCCAAACACACCTCCAAAATGACCACTGCCTTGTTAAAGAAGCTGAGGGTAAAGATGATCGACTGGCCAAGCATGTCTCCAGACCTAAACCATATTGAGCATCTGTGAGGCATCCTGAAACGGAAGGTGGAGGTGTGCAATATCTCTAACATTCACCAGCTCCGTGACGTCATCATGGAGGAGTGGAAGAGGACTCCAGTGACAATCTGTGAAGCTCTGGTGAACTTTAGGCCCAAGAGAGTTAAGGCAGTGCTGGAAAATAATGATGGCCACACAAAATATTGACACTTTGGAGCCCCATTTGGATATTATCACTTAGGGGTGTACTCACTTTTGTTGTCAGCAGTTTAGACATTAATGGCTGTGTGTTGTGTTATTTTGAGGGGACAGCACATTTACCATTATACAAGCTGTATACTCCATACTTTACGTTGTAGCCAAATGTCATTTCTTCAGTGTTATCACATGAAAAGATATACTTAAATATTTACAAAATGTGAGGGGCTGTACTCACGTCTGTGATATACTGTACATATACTTTTTGTATGGACAATTACTTTTTGTTTTATTTATGCTTGCTAAAAAAATTGCCAACTATAAAATTTTCAAGTTACATTTATGTACTATGTCCTTGATATTTTAGGTAATTATGCATAACAAGATAGCCTTTAATTTGATTTGACAGAGAGAAAACTCAACTTCAGTCTTTTTAAAAGTGACTGTATTAAAAATGAATAGAAAAAAGTAGAAAGTAGAAATTGGGGACATACAATAGAATTTATTATAACCATAAACATATTTAGGTTAGAAAGTGGAAGACTATGATCATGTATATTTAATTGTATTATTTTTATTAACTGCGTAAAAAATATATTGAAACCTCAAACACGTTAAATTCAGGGGACCTAGAGATATAATCCTGGGACTGATTCAATCTTATTAATAATTGGCCTTATTAGTGTTTCTAGAAAATTGAGATATTGGAATTATGGTGTAATATTGAGTAATTTTTAAAATATTAGTGATTCAGCAGGGGACAACAAATACACTGCATGAAGAAATGTTATTGATATTAAAATGTGTTTATGGGAAAGTGATAAAGAATTATAAAGAGAGAATGGTATTGTTTAAAGACAAAGATGTGAATGTAGAAGGACTCCAACAAATTGGGGGGGGGGGGGAGATGAGTACAAACTGGGAAAATAGTACTATAAACACTGATATATAAAGGAATATTATAATTACAATGTGAACGTTAAGATCGGAAGACGGTTATGTATATTTAATATTATTGTTAGCATTGTATAAAAAGTATATTGACCCAATCAATACACTGCGCACAAAATATGTATCGTGTTAAAGGAAAAAATATGTTATAGATATAATTATAGAACAAACCTTTTGCTCTGCTTCCAGCTTATCACATCTTTCTTTCTCATACACAAGTTCTTTTTCTAGTCTTTCAACTTGATCTCTAAGTTGCACAGTTTCTTTTTCAAGTGATGCAGTTACTTTTAGTAGTTCTTCTTTTTCTTTCAGAATTTTTTCAATTTTGAACTAAAAACAAAAAGCGTTTGCTTCAAAACTGTAGAGATTTTGCATATTAAGTCTACAATTTTTTCCCCAGCCAACAGGTAAGGTGGACTAAAACAAGGAACTATTTTATAACCCATTATATTCAAATCCATAAATGCTTATGAACTAAATTTTATAGTTGATAGCTGAACACTAGTACTTTATTTAAAAAGCCATATAAAATGTAGTAAGGAGCAAAGTTGCTTCTGCAGATACAGATATTACAATCCTGCATGGCATCAATCACACACACATTTTGCTGGTTAATTTTTAATTACATCTTACAAATTCCTTTTCACTGAAGATAGCCCAAATCTCATACAAATCATTCTGCTTGAAAACAGTTTGGGTTCAATTATATTTGATACAATTTCCTACTTTCTTCATATCTCTAATGTGAGATATTAGTATTATATAGTAAACTATATTCTATAAATTGTTTGTTAATTCACACCTCAAGAAGTCCAGATTTTGTAGTCACTACCAACATATCAGAATTTCCTTCATCTTCCATTGTTAACAATTCTTCAACTGGAGACGATGTTCGAAATTGGAAAGGGGTGCTTGCACCACGTATTTCTCCTTTATGTGTCACATAACAGAATTGGTAAAATTCTCCATCATCATTTGGGAGGTAGTACCCTGATAAAAAGAAGAATTGAAAGCACATACTTGTTCTTACCTAAATATAAGCCAATTTGGCCTAGTGGTTAAGGCACCAGATTAGAAACCAGGAATCTATTGAATTCTAGTTCCGACTTAGTCAGGAAAAACAATCATACTCTCTCAGCCTAACTCACCTTACAGGGTTGTTGTGGGAAAAATAGCAAGAGGAAGGAGTAATAGATATGTTCCTGTCTTGAGTTGTTTATGAGAAAATAATAAAGGTAGAATACACATACACATGTATTTAAATAAAAAGATATTTTAATTATGCTAAAAATACTATGTGTTAGTAGCATCACAGTATTTTTTTACTTGCTATTTATTGCAATGTGCATCTTTTTTATTTGCATTCCAAATGCTATATAGACATAGGTAAAATTAATAAATGAAAAATAATAAGTCTTCTAGCTCCCACCAATTTTTGGTAGTATATAATGTCTCATAATACTGTTCCATCACCTCTTTTTGTAATAATCACCTCTTGATTTTACCATCCCCTTATCCATTTTATTACATGTGATTACATTTCAAAGATGACAGAAAAATAAGGGTACAAATACTATTTTTACAAAAATAATGATTGCTACCAGGTTTTTCTTTGCATGAAACTATTCTTTTTTTTAAAAAATTCATAGCAGTCCCGATCAGCCAAACTCTAGTGATAAAAAATTGAATAAAATGAAACTTGTGCTTTTTCTAAAGTATTCATCCACATTTCTATAACTTTATATAAATATATAAAAATAAAGAGTCCAATTGATCCACAACATTCTTCCAATGACTTTAAGTGCAAAAAATAAAGTTCATGATAAATGCAAAATTAACACTTCGAGCTACAAAAATTAAAACTTAGGTAAAACTAATAAACTCAATAGCCTTGAATTTGACAATTACCTGGAAGGCTTGTATGTATAATCAAACAGATCAATGCCTGTCATAGAACCTATTAATTTGGAACAGATATATAGGATACATGTATTATTTACAAACCAAAGTTCCATTCCAGGGGATTCATACAAAATATGAATGGATTCTATAAGTGGAAATTAAATTAAGGTGCTTTGCCTATTTATCCTAAACCTTGGGGGGGGGGGTCTATTCCAAAACAGTCCTTTTAAAACGGCTTCAATAAGTGGTACAGAATACGTCGTGTCCTTATATTTACCCTAGTTTGAATATGATCAAATAATAATTGTTGTGCAATTCCAATTTTATATTTTCAACCAGTTATTCAAAGCACTTAATTAAAACTGTTATATAACCCTAAGTAATTTTAGTATTAGCCTAAGAAATAATGTATGTTTCAATTATTTGTAATAAAAATATCACAGTATTTTTGAAATATTAAATAAAACACTTTGCCTGTTTGCTTCTAAATATTTACCTTGGAAAGATAATACACAATTAATTGTTGAACCTTCCACATAATTTTCAGGCATAGGTGACCAAAGAAATGTGTAATAATCTCGTGCAGTACTCCAGCCAACCTATAGAAAACATTAAATAGATAATATATTGTAACAAAACTATGGATTAATAGACAGCTATAACATTCCATATAGTTTAACAAATATCTATGGATCAAATAAACATATAAGGGAGAAAAGAAAGTATAAATCAATGTTCTAGATCAGTGGTGGCTAACCTTTTTCTTGCTGCGTGCTGAAAATAAGCTTGTGTGACTAGGCCAACATGTCTGCCTCCCTGCCTGCCACCCCTTGTGCCCGAGCAGCCCCTCTGCCTACAGATACCATTGCTGCTGCTGCTCTTCTGGGGCCTTGCTTCCTCTCCCGCACAAAACCACTCCAAATTAGGCAGGTGGGATGGTAAAGAAAAGGCAGCAGCAGTGCACATAAGGATTCCTAATTCTTTTTTTCTCTCCAGCATTCCTCCTGCGTAACTCTGCTGCCCCAGCAGAGAAGCAGCAGGGGAAAAGGCTAGAGTGACTGGCTGGCTCAGGTGCTCAAGGAAGCAGGACAGCATTTGCTGGCTGCCCTGCCTGCTGCTCCTTCCTCTAGCCATGTTGGACTTACTTGCCCCAACCACGCTTGCTTACGCTTGTTTTCATTTAGCTGCCATACGAACTCCTCGAAGTCCAAGGGATAGTAAAGAAGAGGCAACAGTCATGCACGCAAGGATTCCTAATTCTTTTTCTTCTCTGGCATTCCTCTTGCGCAGCTCTGCTGCCCCAGAAGAGCAGCAGCAGTGGCAGGGGGAAAGGCAAGAGCAATTGGCCGGCTCAGGCGCTCAAGAGAGCAGGACAGCATTTGGTGGTTGGGCAGCTGGCTGCCCCTCCCACTGATCCTTCCCCTAAGCCATGTTGGACTTTGAGGAGTTCAAGTGGCAGCTAAATGAAACAAACAGCATAAGGAAGCATGGTTGAGGGCAAGCAAATCCAAAATTGCTAGGGGAAGGAACAGTGGAAGAGGCAGCCAGCCGCCCAGCCAGCAAATGCTGAGCGGCTCTCTTGAGTGCTCGAACCAGCCAGTCGCTCTTGTCTTTTCCCCTGCCGCTACTGCTGCTCTTCTGGGACAGCAGAGTTGCTCAGGAGGAACACCGAAGACAGCGAGCCAGTCAGCCATTGCCATTGCTGGTTTTCACGAGCATGCACGCCAAAACCCAGACCAAATGGCCGATGAGCATTTCTGCATTGGAAACAGGATGATCTTCCTGGTATGCGCATGCGCAATGACAGGTTGCTCTTCCAGTTTCTGGCACACCGGTGCACTTGAAAACCAGCAGGTCAACATGTTGGAAGAGATACAGGTGACGGCTCCATGTGCCCGGATAGATGGCTGTGTGTGCCACTTCCGGCACGCATGCCATAGGTTCGCCATCATGATTCTAGACATAACAAAGTAAATAATTTCAGCATGCAGTCAACTGCTACCAAGCAAAGCCTAATATTCAAAGACAACAAAAGTTAATAGCTGCAGCCATCTTGCACTTCTACTAGTTGCTTGCTTAAAACAACTTGGGGAATATAAGAAAAAATTTAATTTAGTGTGTAACACTGAAATTAATTTATGAAATTAATAATATGTAGTCATTGTATCTTATTCTAGTTGACCACAAACTGAATTCTATTAAGGTATCAGTACCTTAATGAAGGTTCTGGAACTTATGTACAATACTTACTAAAATAATGTATAAGGTTTTGTTTTGTTTTATAAAAAGAAAACAATTTTAAAAGTGATCTGGGACAATAATTTGGGGCAATATTACCATTATATGGAACTTTATTCTAGTAGGCTTGGACATGAGATTTTGGGACAAAAGACTTTGCCCTTGAGGTTTATTACTGTATTTTTTGGAGTACAAGACGTATCTTTTCTCTCAAAAAAGAGAGTGAAAATCTGGGTGCGTCTTATACTCCGAATGTAGCATTGGATCTGAAACGAAGGCGTTCCAGGTGGCAGAGATAGTAGTAACTGCCTAGCGCCCCCTTTGCCAAATGAGTGGCGACCTCCCTCTTCTCAGGGCTGTTTCAGGAATCAGGCTCCAACCAAGGTAGCAAAAGCGCAGGGCAGTGTGTTTACGAGATGACAGCGTCCAGAATAGTGAAGTGCTGCGTCTCTACCGGGCTTGCTGCAGGAAATCCAGGTTTCCATGCCTACGGTTATAGGTAGGAAGACGGGGACGTCTTGGGAGTGGAGCCTTCGGTGCCAAGTCCCTCTTCTGTCCCCATGAAAATCATCCCCAACCCCTCCAGTTAAATACGCGTAGGGTGATAGGGTTTGTTTTAAATGGATAAAAAGCTCGTTATCAAAATCTGAGTGAAAGTGAGGATTCCCACTGCCTGTAACTTCCCGAAAATGCAAGGCACAGAGATGAAGATGGTCTATAGCAATCCCCACAGCCTGGAATAGCTGGTTGGGAGTATTCCACCTGCCAATCAGCTGCTCCTGCTGAATCAGGCTGCAATACCGTGCTGAAGCTGACCAGGCCATTTGCTGTTTGCTGAAAGGGTGTAATGTATGCTGGCAGGCAGAAAGTTTTTTTTCTTGTTTTACTCGTCCCCAAAATAAGGTGCGTCTTATATTCTGGTGCATCTTATACTCCAAAAAATACAGTAGTTTCTAAAAATATACTCATAGAAATGTTTCCACTATAAAGATGAGGCAATAAAATCTAATAATAGCTTATAATAAAGTAATAAAGTAAAGCATTTAATAAGACATAGGCAAATAAAACCCTCTTTAATGAACAAGTTAAACAATTAATCTCCTGCTTATTGTCTAATGACCCAAGAAACGTTGTATGTGTGTCTAATAACAAGGGGAGAGAGGTCAGTTTTAAAAAACCATCTCTCTTAGGATCATATGCAATGATCGGCATTATGTGGATTAAATTGATTGGACAGCTAATATGTAGATTATCCAGTAATAAATAAAATGTAATTAAACATGGCCTCAACAAGATAAAAATTTAATTCTCTAAGCATCAATATTTTAAGATAAAAGGCATTTTACATTTTCACTTGACCATTACCCAGTCATTCTTAAAAAAACATATATTAAAACATTCTAGAAACTGCTTACCTTGAAAATACCAACCCAATCTTTTTGGTGAGGATGTATATAGGGTGTCAGAGTGTAATGGCACTCAAGGTACACATTAGGAAGATAACTTTTTGCTACATTTTGAAAGATAACATGTGCAAAATTTGAAGTCTGGAGGGTATTTGAAGATGAAGCCTCTTGAAAAGATGACATAATTGCTCTGTAAAAAATGTAACCGTTTAATTAATGTAATAACTGAATGACAACATACAGATTAAAAGATTTAAAATATTTACAGTATTCTGTACGTTGAATATGTTGTTAGATATTTATCCTAACTATCTATAAAAACATTCCTAATAACCCTGCCTAACAACAAACAAACAAACAAACAAACCTTTTCCCCAAAAACCACCCAATGAGATAGGCTAATAGGGAATGACTGGGCAAAATTACTCGCATGCCTAAGACAGGCATACAACTCATAGCCTCCTCTTTTCAAGCTAACACTGAGGCCACCGTGTCTCTGCAGTATATATTATACAGAGAGTACATAAAGAAAACGAATTTGACATCCCTGCTATAAGGGTTGGTTCTAGTTGTACTGTATCACATGTCAAATCTCTTTACTCTCATGTTCCATGGCATATGAATAGGGATGAATCCCATTTTTTACCTTTTTATTTCCTTTGCACAGAAATACATGCTCAATATTTGTGATCCCTTCTAATATTTTATGCCTTTGATGAAATGAATTCCGTAAAACCTTTTGAAAAAAATGTGTTTGTTGCATACTTGCAGAAAAGAATATTTGTAGGTTAGGACTGAAATAAGAGGTCCTTAATACTCTCTGAGCTTGGTTGTTTTCTTGCAAGCATTTCAATACTCAAACTAGGTAATATCATCAGTGCTGGTAGGGACTGGGGTCTGCTTTTTATATTGTAGTGGCTTGCCATTGTTAAATACTTGTTAAAAGGAAATATAGGATACGATGTTACATGTGAGCATTATTTTCCTGATTACTAGAAATCTACCCACCCCAGGTTTGAGGATGGAAAATAGTCATTATTTTTCATTTGGGACTGAGCGGTTTAAGCCTTGGGAAATCTTAAAACTTCTAAATTTATTTCCCAAAATTAGTAATATTAATACTCACTATGTAGCACTTATACCTCATGAAGCCTGGTATAGTCCCTGAGCCAATGGAAGTTATATACCTCTTAACTTAAGATATCTGAACAGCAATTTTAGAAGACTTGTTAAATATATACAAAAACGTGAACTTTTCAATAGTACAATATTGTTAAATTTCTCCGGTTTAGCAAGAATTTGAAATATGCTAATATACTATCACATTTAAAGCAACTACAAAATTGTAATTTTGTCCCCGAGTCATTCCTTAGGGATAATATATGGAGAACAATATAAAGCAGGGATGTCAAACTCAAGGCCCGGGACCCAGATCCGGCCCACAGGACTACCCTGGAAACAGCAAAGGACGAGCCCACAGTGCCTCTGCCATCAAAAACGGAGCTCGGTTAGGCCAAGTGCCCTGTTTTCAGGCACAATGGCCTCCTGCAGCCCTCTGCCAGCAGGAAGGCTGCAAAAGGCCATTGCAGCTGAAAATGAGGCCCAGCGAGCATGTGCAGACCACCCAAGGTGTTTTCAGTGGCAGAGGGCTGCAGGAGACCATTACGGCCGAAAATAGAGCTCATGAATCCATTTTTGTTAGCAGAACGCTTGAGCCACCACAAGCGCCCCTGACCCGAATAATGTCAAGATGGCCACACCTATACTGGCCACACCCACCTCAGCCTCCAAGGTCAAACACAACCCTGATGCAGCCCTCAATTAAATTTGACACCCCTGCTATAAAGCAATAGCGCTTAGACTTACATACCACTGCACAGGGCTTTACAGCCCTCTCTAAGCGGTTTTACAGAGTCAGCCTCTTGCCCCCAACAATCTGGGTCCTCATTTTACCCACCTCAAAAGGATGGAAGGCTGAGTCAACCTTGAGCTTGGTGAGAATATACCTGCCAAATTGCATGCAGCCGGCACTCAACAGAAGTATCCTGCAGTACTGCATTCTAACCATAGCCCCATTGCAACTCATAAAAGATCAAATTATTAAACTTTTAAAAATGTACAGAAAAAGGATCAATTGGTAGTTTAAGCAACATATCATTTTTTAAAAGTGCTAGTAAGCATGACAGAATGATCAATGCATGTATGTGATTATGTTCTTGTACTCAATCCCAAATAAATAAAGTTAGCATTTACAGAATGACATTGAACATTATCACTAGACATTTGTTAAACAATAATCTAAAGCAAACAATGAAATAAAGCCAAGAATCTTAGTTGCTGTTATTGAGCTTGGCAATGGGTCTGTTACAATTATAAAATGGTCCCTTTTTAATCAAGATAGTAAACATTCAAATAAATTTTAAAGTGTTCAAGAGAACCAATTAAATAATTGACATAACTAGCTGACAGAATATGTGGTTGTGTAATTTAAATAGGCTTAAGAGGAAATGAAAAATATATGGAATTTAGATTTATCAATTAGTAGTTATGAATATTGTGAGAACTGTGTTCAGAGACATGTTCTGAATACCAGTGGTAGGTAGAAGGTACAACAGTGGAAGATAAGAATGTTATTATGAAATTGATTTTCTGGGACACATAGTTTTAATATTTTTATCATTTTAAATTATTTTACATATTATTCCTAGGATCTTTTTACTGGAACATAAATTGCATGAAATAATGAACTTTCCTTATCACTTCAGTTATGCAGAATATATATAGAGCATCTAAAGTAACTATAAGTTAATCAATTAAAGACTTTTACTTGACTGAGCTAAATAAAAGATGTTGACAGAAAACCTTCTACCTCATTTCTAACGTGGCATCTATCAAAAATAGTTACAAAATTTCAAGAAATTTCAGATATACCATAGCAATCTCTTCTTTTGATAAGGTCTGGAAAGCTCAGACAAAATAGCTTCAAATTGTATTATTGTTCTGGCACCAATAATTTCATGATAAGAATATCCTTCCCTGAATTTTTGAAATATTGGAGTTATTAGTATCTCAGATATTTAAAAGACAATAATAACTTCTAATAAAATTATGTGCACATTATTTCCAGCTATACATTTTGGGAAATTCTGTAATGTTCTGTAATGTTTTTCTCCAAAGCCATTCTAAGGCAGTGTTTTTCAACCTTTTTTGTGCAAAGGCACACTTTTTTCATGAAAAAAATCACGAGGCACACCATTAGAAAATGTTAAAAAAAATTAACTCTGTGCCTATATTGACTATATATAAAGTAATTTTCCCACGGCACACCTTACACTATGTCACGGCACACCAGTGGTTGAAAAACACTGTTCTAAGGTACAGTGCACATCTTAAAAACCACAGAATTGCATGGATCAACTTTCCACATTACCAACAACACATTAACACATTGCATAATATTTACTACTTTGTCCTCATCTGCATCTGTTCAGCTCTGCAAAGAGTTTGTACTTTTAAACTGTTGGCACCGAAACACATATCCACAAATCAACCAACCCATTCATAACTTACAATAATGTTTCTTCAGCTCTAAAGTCTAAGGCCTTTCCTGTGCCCAAGACATATTCACCAATATAGAGCAGTTCTCATCCTGTGGGTTGCGACCCCTTTGGGGGTTGAACAACTTTTTCACAGGGGTCGCTAAGACCATTGGAACTCTAAACTTTAGACTTCCCCTTGCATTCCTTGAAATCCCCTGCGGATGGGATCCAGAGTCATTGCCGGCCACGCAGAGCATCACCACAGCTCCACACCATGGACAACATAGGTGCACACGCACACCCCATACAATTACAGCCTCGGAGACTTTCTAATGGCAGGAACTTGTTCTCACTCGCCCGGGCTTCTGCAGAAGCTGCTCTCCAAAGCTCTCCGAAGCCCTCTGAGGTAAGTGAGTGAGTGAGTGAGACAGACAGACAAGGTGTGGGTTGCTCCCTCTTCTCTGGTTTGAATGTGAGTGGGCAGTTTAGTGGCCCGCCTTCTTTGCTACTTCGAGCAGGTGGAGATAGCGCATGCAATAGTCGAGGGCGAAGGAGGTCCCCTTCATCCTTGGTGGCAGGGGTGCTTTATCACAAGCCTCCTTTCTTTCTCTGCCTGCCCAAATGAGCGAAGGAGGTGCTGGCCCCAAACCGCCTCCTCGCCTGCAATCAAACCAGCCCGCCCCTCCTGTCTTTCGGCATGGGGTCTCTGGAGGGGGATGGAGGTTCTTTCCAAGACTGGCTTCTTTCCTTTCCTCCTGCGGCTGGAAAACAGATATTTTCACAGGGGCAGCAGAAACATAATCCTGGGCAGTCAGTTCCGGCTCTCCCTTCTCCAAACATGTCCCGTTGCTGCTGGAGCTGCTTTTGCTGAATCCAATGTGGTGGCTGCCAGCGAAGCTGCCAGTGAAGCTCTCAGCAATGGCCAGAGTCCCGCCACCGCACCTGATTCAGAAAAAGCAGCTCCAAAAACAATAGGACCAATAGGCGGTGGTAAATCCATGCAGAGGGAGGAAAATGCATGCATTCCCCACCCCCTCCATTGGAAATGAGGCAACTGTCAAAAGAGAAGAGGGCAGCGCACGCCACGTGGGCTTGTGCAGCAGCCGAAGAACAAGAGGCGAGGTGACCACACTGTGTGTGTATGTGAGTGAGTGAGAGACAGACAGACAGACAGAGAGGCACAGAGAGAGAGGAAGGGAGGAGACAGACAGAGACACACAGAGAGATAGAGATGGGAGAGGGAGGAGAGAGAGACAGAGATACAGAGAGAATTACAGAGAGACAGAGAGAGAGGAAGGAAGGGGAGACAGAGACACACAGAGAGACCGAGATGGGGGAGGGAGGAGAGAGAGAGACAGAGATACAGAGAGAGAATGGCAGTTGGTCTTACCTGAACTGCTATTTTCAGGGCTCGGACAGGAGGTGTCAGTGGATGGTATTGACACGCCCATTGGCCACGAGACTGGGATGAAGCTGAAGACACGCCTCTGTGCTCCACCCTTTCTTCTCCACTTCATCGAAGTGAGCTTCCCTCAGATTCGAAAACAAGGCACAAAGGAGAACTCCCACCACCCCAACTATCATACTACCTAGGGCAGGAACTGGAACCTCCTGTCCAAGCCCCGAAAATAACAGTTCAGGTAAGACCAAC